GTGTGTGTTCTGCTCCAGAAAGCCCAACTATAACGGCTCGTTCATTCACTAAGTCTAGCCTGGAGCTGCCTTTCACTGTGTGTATATGTGTGTGTGTGTGTGTGTGTGTGTGTGTGTGTGTGCGTGTGTGTGTGTGAACACAGGAGGATTTGTCCCTCCCAGTCTCGAACACAGTGTGACAACTTCACAGCAGGATGAGCAAACACCGCGGAGCCATCTGTGAACTCGGGGCAAAGTGTTCGCTGGGGGAATGTTTGCACCGCTTTAGAGTTCAAACAAAATGAAGAAAACGCAACATGTTAGGAAAGCACCGCTGGAAGGGAACCATACCTTAGTGATCGAAGAACATGTTAACCTGCATATGGATCCTGTTCACATCATTTAAAGACAAACCTCTCTTTCAGCACTGCACAGTTTCTTCAGCTTTTTATTTTTTTCTGCATTTACTATTTATTATTTTGGGGCTTGTTATACCGTCATTTAGAGACAGGACAGTGGAGTCAGAAATAAAGGAGCGAGAGAGTGAGTGGGGATTGACCACAGACTGGAAATATAAGTTTGAAGCCTGAGTGACGACACCCGTCTGTTCCTACAGACTGGAGTCCCATCGATGGCGGTCTCCATGCTGGAAATGCTGTCTCAGTCTAGCTTTCAGTCAACCTAACGACAGGCTGAGAACTGGTGCTGAGGCGGGTTTTAAACCTCCTGACAAACCGTTACACCGCGCCCACCTGTCAATCAGGTCAGCCTTATTGTGAATAACTCTTATCCTTCATCAAATAAAAACTGATGAGTCATCAAAACATTCACCCCCCGTACAGTGTGTGTCCATCGCGACATGAGCTAATCACACCTATTTGTTTTTTTGAACCAGGCTGTAAACATGTTAATCTCTGCTGTAAAAACAGGCTTTTTAGAATGGGTGTGTATGTGACTTCCTGTGCTTTTGCAGCCAGCCTCTAGTGGACACTCACAGGATTTTGAATTTTGCATCGCCTTCATTCATCTTGGGAATGACATGTGAGAAAGGATCCACAGGTTGGATTCAAGCCCTGGCCGCCCGTTTGGAGGACTACAGCCTCTGTAGCGCACACGCTAACCACTAGGCTACAGACGCCCCAACAAGTGAGGGGCTCGTGTCAAAGTTTTAGAGAGACACAGAACATCCCTGTAACCATAGCAACATAGAGGGAGATATGCATGTAGTGTCTGTATGGCACAGAGAGGAGTCTAATGTTTAGTATCTCAACAGTACTGAGAGACGTCCAGCGTGGTGGCCCGCCCCACATCACACCTTGTAGAAGCGTGCAAGTGTGTGTGTGTCTGTATGTGTGTGTGTGTGTGTGTGTGTGTGTGTGTGTGTGTATGTGTGTGTGTATATGTGTATATATATGTGTGTGTGTGTGTGTGTGTGTGTGTGTGTGTACAATTTAAGTGTGTGTGTATGTCTGTATGTGTATGTGTGTGTGTGTATATGTACAATTTAAGTGTGTGTATTTCTGTATGTGTGTATATATGTATGTGTGTGTGTATAAGTGCGTGTGTGTGTGTGTGTGTATGTGTATGTCTGTATGTGTGTATGTGTGTGTGTGTGTGTGTGTGTGTGTATATGTACAGTTTAAGTGTGTGTGTGTGTGTATATGTACAATTTAAGTGTGTGTGTGTATGTCTGTATGTGTGTATATATGTGTGTGTGTGTGTGTGTATGTCTGTATGTGTGTATATATGTGTGTGTGTGTGTGTGTGTGTGTGTATGTATGTATATCAAAAGAGTAAATCTGCTTTCATTTAGTGCTGACTTATTTATCCCCAAACGGCAACATATGGCGTCTCGTTTCTGAGGCTGTTTCAGCACGCGGTGGAGCGTTTTCAGTCTGTGTGCACATGCAGAGATAACAAGTGTGTTGAATATATACATGTGTTAACAGAAGTGTGTGTGTGTGTGTGTGTGTGTGTGTTGTGTGTGTGTGTGTGTGTGTGTTTGTTTGTATGTGTATGTCTGTATGTGTGTATGTGTGTATGTGTGTGTGTGTGTATGTATACATACACACACACGGGCGGGTGGCTGCAATGATGTGGTGGGGATGCTCTGCTGTGTCACCATGAAAGGAGTTCAATCACTCCTGATTCTGGGGGACTACAGACGGGTTTGAAAGCAGAGGGTACTTTGTCAGAGGGAGTGTCTGATGACTCATTTCACAAAGACAGAAACACAGACAGAGAGAGAGAGTCTGTGGAGGGTTTACTACAAACAGCAGGAGGTCTGAATCGTCTAGTGTGTGTGTTGAGACGATTGTGATGTTAAACAGTTGAAACTGTTCTCATGTCTTCAGTCTCCATGTTTTTAAATCTGTTAAGATTGAGTGTGTAGCCTTAGGTTTTCCAACATATCTTAGAAGCTGTGATTTGCTCAACCAATATGTGTGCTTCACTATCACAGGAATTAGTCCCGCTGTGAGGAGCGGTGTGTGAACAACCAGGCCAGGAGAATCTCCAGAGCAGCACTCCTGAAATGATTTAGATATTATCTGTATTGAAGATGTGAAAACACTTCAATCTTAACTTCTACCATGAATAAAGAGGAACTTTGTGTTCTACATTTTTATGTAAATATCAGAGTGAGTGTGCATGTGTGTGTGTGTGTGTGTGTGTGTGTGTGTGTGTGTGTGTGTGTGTGTGTGGTGTGTGTGTGTGTGTGTGTGGTGTGTGTGTGTGTGTTTGAGGGTATCATGGCATGGCTGACTGAGTGGCCCACTGAGGCTGAGACAGATGAAGAAAAGGTCAGGAGATGTCAGGCAGAGCTGAGAAACACACACACAGACACACAGACACACACACACACACACACACACACACACACACACACACACACACACACACACACACACACACACACACACACACACACACACACACACACACGAGCCTATACAGAGCCCGTCCTAACCCCCTGACTGAATATGGATCAGAGCTTTCCCCCGTGCTTGTGTGCCTGACATAAAATGAGGCACTTTTACGATCAGGTCATATTCTGTCTGGCACAAATCTCTCTCTCTCTCTCTCTCTCTCTCTCTCTCTCTGTGTGTGTTGGCACAAACGTTTCCATAAATCAGCCTGAAGGAGGAAACGCATTGGAGTACATTAGAGGCTGTTACACCCTGAACGTGGCTTCATGTGCCAGACTGAGACTGTGTGTCACTAAACAAATCAGTTGATGATGCTTGTTCTAGGCGTTTCCACCATAAAGGTTTGATTGGACCTGATGCAGACCATAATAATCTATTTCCTGTGCTGCTGCAGGCACGCATAGGCGTTTGGTAATATTCTCCTTATTTGAAGAAATGTAAACGGGAGAGTGTGTGAACATGAAGATCTCCTCACCTGCTCCCTGCATCAGCTAACAGGCTGCTCCCTTCTGGCTCTACTCTTTACAAAGTTTGGCACACCTGTACTTCATTCAGTTTACAGACAGTCTCCTCTCTAATGTAGCACTGCAGAATTTCCTCACAGTAACTGAACAAATAAGTGCGCTTCATTAAGTCTGCCCCCTTTACGTCTTAGTTTTCTATCCTAAATAAATGATTATGTGTCGTCACCCTTTAGAACCAGTTAGTTCAGATACCGGGTACATTCGGGGCCTGATTTACAAAAGGATCGCGTTGCTTTTGCGGGCGCTAAACGTGTGCATATGAGAGACAAAGATGGCGTGCAATCCACAAAACACGTAAAGGGTAAAATGAACGCTAACTGCTCTGCAGCACACGCTCTAACCTGGATAAATAAAGGTTAGCTTAATGTAGCTGCCAAGCAGATAGCATCCTGTGTGAGCCTGTTCCATTAACATCTGTGAGAATAAGGGAATATCAAAACTCTATTTCAGCCCTGATCAGAACAGGCTGTTTCTGTGTCTGCACCTTTAAATATGTATATGAGCTGTGTCTGACCACGCCCCCTCGTTGGAAGGGCTTGGATGTACTCGGTGCTTTCTCGGTCCATGTCCTATTGTTTACGGTGAGAAGGCAAACTCAGAGGGCAGAACAAACACCTAGCTGTGGGAGTGTCACCCACCTGGGGGAGGGGTTACTGCCCTTTGTGATGTCATGAAGGGAAAATCTCCAAATGGCCTGTTTGAGCACACATTTTCTGAAAAGTGGAGCAGGCAGAAGACAGAGAGGATGGACTTTTCTTATCATTTGGGGGTTTGTAGACAGCATAGAGACATATATTTGAGTTAGAACAACATGGTGAAGTGGATTTTAAATTATATGTGACCTTTAAAAAAAGTCCACGCTAACCTTCACATACAATTAGAAAGAGTCAGTGTGTGATAGTGTAAAATGTTCAGTTCAGTTAGAAGTGTTTTGAAGGGCTGTTTAAGGAATGAGTGTGAGACAGTGACTGTCAGAATGAACGCATGACATTTTGAAAAGTACACTTTCTGTCAGGGATCACATCATCGCAAACAAAAAAACAAAACAAGCTTCTGGAATAAACATGAGGCACACAAAGCATGTGAAGACTTCACCGGAGCAGACGGACGATGGAGACACATGAGGGACAGAATACAACCACAGATAGACCAACGGATGGAGGTATGGGCGGAGACATGGACAGCCAACGGAGAGAATGAGAGAAATGTCTACACTGTAAAAAAAAACTCAAATCAGGAACTTAAAAACAAGTTGATCGACTCTGTAACTGATTGTTTTTTAATAAAGCTTCGTCTTCATGTCACCACGTCTCTCTCGGTGTGATAGCGATGACTCTCTGATGTCATGTCATGAGGTAATAAAAAGCCAAACCCATGAGAGGCAGGGCTATGATGTCATCAGTGTGCAAGGCGAGAACCAAAGTGATCCGTGTGTGACAGGACGGATGACATCATGCTGTGTCTGATATCGGTTTGTCGTAACAGAGAGAATGGAAAGATTTGAGTGAAGGAGACAAAAGGCAGATAGAGAGACAGGATGAATATATGTATAAATAAATGATTGGATTACTTTGTCATTCTTTGCTCGGCTTGATTTTGATTCCACACAAGGAATTCTGGGTCGTACCTATCGAGGGGGGACAGGCAGAGAGAAACAAGAGAGAGGCTTTGGTTGGCTGTCTGCTGGCAAAAGGTTACTCAGTAAGCGTCATTAATAGCCATGATTAGTGAATAGATATATCAGTATGTAGCCACTACACTTGTCTTTCTCTCTCAGCATCTGGTTACCAGGCAATGGCGGTGAGGGCGGGCAGGGTGACGGACATGCACTGAGAGTGGGCGGTGAGATGGTGAAGATGTTGGGAAAGAGAGGGTGTAAAGGGGGGGAAGATCTGGTTCTGTTTACAAGTCCTGGTTGCTGCTGGTGGAGACGTTTTGAATCAGATAGATGAAGCGTGGGGTCGTTCTCCCTCTGGTTTTCAAATGACCAGCGGATCTCACGACCGTGTCATCCTATCACCCAAACGGAATAAATCAAACTCTCTTTAAAAACAAACACACATGGTGGTCTGAATCATTCTCAGTTAATTTATTCATTTCTGTTTCGCTCTGACTGAAAGTGACTCGCTCTATCTCAGACAAACAGGGCGTCCATCAGGAAAGCTCGACGGCCCCGTAATGACAAGCTAAGCTGCTACGCCTGTCACGTCTTTAATTCAAACAAGATACAAAATATCAAGACTTTTTATTTTCAGCAACACCTCGCCTGTAGTGATCCAGAATGAGTTGTAGCTTTAAAGCGTAGAGGGGACGAAGCTTTCTAATCATCAAGTCGGATATTTCCTACATTGATGTGTCATAGGTCACGCGTCGGTCAGGCTGTAGGCGGGATCGGGTGTAAATGACCTTGATGATAGTGTTAAACAGTCACACTGACCACATGGCCAGAATCTGAGGGTGGCCATGTTTGTTCAAAGAAAACAACTAGTCATTTCATTTTTAGTATCAGTCCCATTTATGGAACAAACCTGTTATTCTGTGTGAACTAATCATGCATTTCCTCTTTAATGATTTCAAATCTTAAACGTCTTTGATCAGTTCCACGCACGCAGCCACGCCTTTAGAGCGCCTTGATCACTGCAAACACGTGCATGTTGTTGGTCCTTTGCAATCTTTCAAAATAAAAGCTCAGCCTTAGAACTAAGGCTAAGGCTTAGTTCTAAGGCTGAGCTTTTATTTTGAAAGATTGCAGAGGAGACTTCCTCGACATCGTAAAGTTACGGGAGTGAATAGAAACTTAGAGGTAGAAGTGTGTGATGTCTGAGAAACATCAGTTTAACTCTGAGCTCAATGTTATCCCGTGATCAGAGACAGGATTATTCACTGAATGGACGTAACTCTACCGTGCTTCAACTGTGAACTCTTCTCTGGCCCGGTGGGTCGAGCATTTCCTCTTTCATAACTCGAAATCATAAACGTCTGTGTGACTAGTTACATGTAGTGCTTGGTCCTGCAGAGATCAGTCCGCAGCTGGAAATAGTCCCCACACTTTGAAGATAATAATCTGGACCTGTTTTTATTCTTGTCTTCAAAAAGATCAAATGAACTTAAAGTGGCACTAGAGGCTGGAAATGATTGAAGGACTTTCTCTGTGTGGGATTTGTTGAGACAGTGATATATAATAATATTCATGATGAAAAAGTCTCTTCCTGCAGCACTGAAGCTGTTTTATATTTGCAGCAGAATCTGAGTGTTGTCAGTGTAACGCTGATCTCTGGGGACCCTCCCTTTAACTCAACGTGCTCATCATTTACACAAACAGCCCAGACTCTGACACCCACTGTGCATGTTGTGAAAGGAGAAGCAGAATGTCATGCATCACAAGTCGGTGCTTCACATGTAGCGATGCAGATGTGTAACGATGACACTGGAGCGTCACAGCGAGCAGACACACAATGAGTGCAATGTGCAAAGAGAACAAACAGTCAGACGATGGGTGGAGGACAGAGCGATGGCAACAGGAGAGACACTCCTGAGTCTCCAAATGTTAGCAGATAATGAGCATCTCAGCACAAAGTGACTCATTAAAACATTAGACTGCAGCACATATATATTCATTTCTACCTCCTGCTTACACCTGAGCTGAAAGGTCTCAAAGAGAGACTCCTCTCTGTGACACCGTGCAGCCATTAGTCAGAGAGACGAGGCTAACCAAGACACAAGAGGAATATTATTTCAAACTTGATTCTAACTAGGACAAAAGAATGATCAAAACAGCTGTTACGCTCTCTCTCTCTCTCTCTCTCTCTCTCTCGCTCTCTCTCTCTCTCTCTTTCTCTCTGTCTCTCTCTCTGTAGCTCACTCTGTCTGTCTCTCTCTCTGTCTCTCTCTCTCTCCCTCCCTCCCTCCCTCTCTCTCTCTCTCTCCCTTTCTCTCTCTCTCTCTCTCTCTCTCCCTCCCTCTCTCTCTCTCTCTCCCTCTCTCTCTGTCTCTTTCTCTCTCTCTCTTTCTCTCTCTGTATCTCCCTCGCTCTCTCTCTTGCTCTTTCTCGCATCTCCTCTCTCTCTCGCTCTCTCTCAGTATCTCGCTCTCTCTCTGTATCTCACTCTCTCTCTCTGTATCTCGCTCCCTCTCTCTCTCTCTTTCTCTCATCTCCTCTCTCTCTCCCTCGCTCTCTCTCTCTGTCTCTCTCTCTCTTTCTCTCTCTCTCTGTCTCCCTCTCTCTGTCTCTCTCTCTCTCGCTCTCTCTCTTGTCTCTCTCTCTCTTTCTCTCTCTCTCTTTCTCTGTATCTCGCTCGCTCTCTCTTTCTGTATCTCTCTCTCTCTCTCGCCCTCTCTCTCTGTCTCTTTCTCTCTCTCTCTTTCTCTCTCTGTTTCTCTCGGTATCTCCCTCGCTCTCTCTCTCGGTATCTCCCTCGCTCTTTCTCTCATCTCCTCTCTCTCTCTCTCCCGCTCTCTCTCAGTATCTCGCTCTCTCTCTGTATCTCACTCTCTCTCTCTATCTCTCTCTTTCTCTCATCCCTCTCTCTCTCCCTCGCTCTCTCTGTCTCCCTCTCTCTGTCTCTCTCGCTCTCTCTCTCTCTTGTCTCTCTCTCTCTTTCTCTCTCTCTCTTGTCTCTCTCTCTCTTTCTCTCTCTCTCTCTCTCTCTCTCTCTCTCTTTCTGTATCTTTCTCGTTCTCTCTCTCTCTCTCTCTCTCTTTCTGTATCTCTCTCTCTCTCTCTCTCGCTCTCTCGCCCACACTCGTACACAAAGTGCTCTCGCTCTAAAAGCAGACTTTGTCTACCTCCTGTACAGAGCGTGACTGAATGTCAGTGACAGAGAGGCACTCAGTCCCTAACAGCGAGAGTAAACTTCTAAATTGGACCTAGAGGTGTGTGCAGGCATTCATACGGCAGTGTGAACGAGTCCCAACAGAAGGCAGAAGAGGACAGTGAAAGATGTGGTGTGATGTGTGCCTCGTACTGAAGCCCAGATTCAGCCAGCCCCGCAGCACCGGACTGTCAAACCCTGACACTCAATTATCTGCTGAGGTGAAACAAAGTGTTTGGTGTCAACACATTACAGCTCTGACATGTGGACTGTCATAAAACTCTTTTCACAGTCAAAGCCTCTGGAAACACAAATCTACATGCAGCGGCTTCCTGTGTTTAATGTCCCCACAAGGGAAACCAGACTTCATCTTAATGTTTGTATCCTATCATATTGTATATTATCATATTGTTTCTATCCTATTGTATATATTATCGTTTTGTATTGTATTGTTTAGAATTGTATAGTATCCTATCGTATCATATGTTAATTATTGGATCGTTTCATATCAAATGGAAACGCATTGTACCGTATCTGATTGTATTGATCAACCAAATTTGTTAAAAAGTCATAATTACGGACCTTAAGCCCCGTTTCCACCAAGCGGTCCGGTTTGGTTCAGTACAGTTTGGTTCAGTTCGTTATGGGACACAGTGAACAAGGGACCCTTTAGGGTCAGATCGGTACCCTCAGCACCCCAACAGAAGCGTACCAAAAGAAGTAGGATGGTATGAATCCCTTATTTTGGTTCCATTCCCAACTTTTGACGGTGGAAACGGTAATAAATGAACCGGACCGCTTGGTAGAAACGAGGCTTTAGCATCGTCTGAGGGCAAAGTATTGGCGGGGAAATGACGCATGGATAGCCACAGGTGCTAACGCTAACGTTCGGTCACAGATGAGTACTGGTTGTTGGGCTCGATTGCGGACTGTTGGACTTTCATATATCCGGTGTAGGTACCAGATGTGCTCGGGTGTTCAGATCTACTCGATGTGCCTGCTACTGACGTCATACATTATGAAGAATTTGCGATATCGGGGCATAGTACTACACTTCCCACGATCATAAAGTGTTTCTGATTGGTTAAGCCTACTGTTACCATGGCAATGTTTACCGTCCCTCAGCGCCATATGTGAACAGATAAATCCTGCTAGCAGGCTAGCTAGTTAGTTAGCTAACAGGAAATGTACAAAAGTTGCTCTTAAGGAGACACGATATAATTCACAATGGATTGTGGGATGTGTAGTTCCTTGACTTTGGACAAAAATCATGTACACAGTCTTGTCTTTTTTACGTTTTTTAATGTCGTTTTGGTGCCAAATTAAATATCCTATCGTCGGTGGGTGGTCACTGTTGTACTCAAAGACCCAACCAAACCTAAAAACTATAAACTCTCTGAATCGTATTGTGTGACTTCTTTAGCAAGCGCAGAACCCCGAGTCGATCTTAACACCCAAGCACACCGGCAGCAGGTGTTGAGTTTTGATCTTTCTCTATGGAGCTTTAAAACTATCTCATGAAATCATTTTCAGATACGAGCACTCCTGCTCCCTCCTCTGATTCTGAGGTGACATCACACATCCTGTTGAAGCTCTACACTGGATGTCACCTGTGTAGTGGCTGTTCACAACCAGGCAGGTGTATCTAAAAATGGTCCCGTCTTCAGGTATGGTCTCAATCAGCTGTGTTTTGATGTCACTCTTCTGATGATTATGAAGTTTATTTTCCACTTTGGTGGATGCTAAATGAAAATCTTCCCTTTGATGTCATATTTAACAAATCAACGCACTTTTCCAGAGGCTTTAAATCTAAATGTCCGCCTATAATTTGTGCTTTTTAAACTTGTTTTTGCATCATCATGTTGACTCTGGTGAATCTGGCTCTCAGTAAGATCAGTGAGAGAGGAAAAGGAGCGGAGCAAAGGGCTTCATCAACAAGCCAGAGCTGTTACATCAAAATGTTTTCTTCTCACCTTGGGTCCTTCTGGATGCTGTCCACTGATGGAGACCGGCCCAGGGCGGCCTCAGGGGGGAGGGTGGGGCCTGACTTGCTGTAGGGCGACTCGGTGGACGGGCAGAACTGCAGAGTGCGGTATGGGTTGGCATAGTCAGCCGCACCGCTTCCCGTGGCAAAGCTCCCTCTCTGAAAGGTGGCGGTGGTGCTCTGGCTTCCTGTTCGCTGCAAGGGGATTGGGTCGACACCGGGGGAGGGCGGGGCTAAAGCAGGGAGAGGAGCGTAGGGAAAGAGCAGATAGTTGAGGACCTCTTGGTACAACTGGTTCACCACTGGGTTTGATGTAGCCGAAAAGGGGGCGTGGGAGTCAGGAGGAGAAGAAAGCAAACACAACAACAACAACACCACCACCAGCAGAACAGAAAAAAACAAAAAGCAGAAAGGGAAGAAAAATGTTGAAATCAAAGAGAAGTTGCACGTCAAGGTGTGCGGTGAGTTCAGGTGAACTCCCCTCACCTCCTTCACAAAGAACAGAAACACACACACAACAAGTAAAGCCACATGTTCGTCTGTTTCTTTTTCAAAATGACTGCCTCCAAAGCTCAGCTGCATTACCACGGCAACCCGATTAACATGCTGACATCACCCCCCCCCCCCCCCCCTCTAAAATCCAGTCAGACTGCAGAGACATGAGAACATCATCATACTTTCACCTGAACCCTGCACACCTCCCGTCGCGCTCAAACACAGAGAGGAATTGTTTTCTTGTTTCACAGCTTTTCAACAACCACTTGAGCATGATGGTCGACGGGGTTACAGCGGCGTGCTCAGAGGGAGGCGAGCTGGGTCAGTCTGTGTGTGTGTGTGTGTGTGAGCACAGAACAGCAGGGACCCTGACGAGGCCTGAGGAAATTCACCTGTGATGTGAAGCCGAGTGTAAAGTGTTATCTGCTTGTTTCCAACTCGCTTTATCATCTTGAAACTATTTGAACTGACCTTGAAACACAGTCAGGCTTCCACGGATACTTTGTGGCGCTCAGAAACAAATAATAAAGAGAGAGAGAGAGTTTGACTGAGTGCTGCTGTCATGACTGACATCCACAGCGACACAGCTGAAGGTGAAGAGTGAGTTCATGCATCAAAGTGACTGATCAGGGAGGGGCATCATAACCACCACCTCAAACCTCCTCATTACTCCGCTCAATCTGTCTGTTAGGGGTACAATCTTATGGATTTCTCTCTCTCTCTCTCTCTCTCCCTCACTCTCTCTCTCCCTCTCTCTCTCTCGCTCTCTCTCTGGATTTCTCCGTGCAATAACATTCTCGGTTCAGGCGACCAAACCGGCGGCTCAGCGTCAACAACATTTTAGGACACGCTTGATTTACTATGATTTCAAAGCACCCGAGCTAACGCCCATGGGATTAATTGAGATTAATTTTCAGCCAAGGAAACTAATTAGTTAACAGACTGTGACTGAGAGACAAATTGCCATTGAGACCCCAATTGGATTTGCCCACCTGATCTGGTAAATAGCGCTCCACGATCAGATGGGGACATGTACAGCGTATCTGCTATTAGGCTCTCTGTTCTAACTAACGCAACATGCTGGAGAGGCTTTCTTTGATCCATCACTTGATTTTTAAATATAGATGCTTCATCGGCTACTGCAGCTATTTATGGACTGGAGCGACTTCAAGCACAAGTTTGTTTTGTTCCTCTTCATCTTCCTGACATCCCTCATCTTTTGGTCTCATTGTCTTCAATCCCTCCATCACTTATCATCTCCAACATTTATCCAGACACCTTAGCTGAAAGAGAAATAACCCTCTGTGGTCTTTATTCTCCACAGCCTCTGTATCCCTGCTCTCAGCTCACCTTGTCCTCTCAGGTTGGGTTTGGTGTAGACTCGGTCCTCGTAGATGGGGTCGATGTGGTGTTCAGGGGACTGCAGGGGTCGGAGCTCGGAGCCCAGGTGGCTGTGCTGGCTGCTGTAGGAACCTCTGGAGCCTGAAAACAATGGGGTATGAAGGACAGGTTCACAGGAGGAAAGGCATGGGTGAATGATGAATTCAACTTTATTCAATGAGGATGACGAGGGGATCAACAAAGATAACAGAATGAAACAATCCAAAGTAATTCCAGGATCTGAACTAGAAGATACGCTTTAGATATAAATGTTTGTCTGCGTCTTTTAAATAGGCAACCAGTGCAACCAGTTCACCAGTATGAACACTGAGACGTGCAGCGTTATGACCAGTGCATCCAGCGCCATCACTCCTGCAGATACCTGTTCACCGTGAGTCTGGTTCTGTTCGAGGTTTCTGCCTCTTAAAGGTCCAACCAGTGAGATTTGTAGAGAGTGAAATGATAAAGGTATCTTACTATATGATCATAAAGGAAACATGCTATGTTGAAGTGCTGGCTTCTCTGACAACAATGCAGCAGCCAGTATGTCCTCCTTCTAACTTTAGATTCTGCTCCTGAATGTTCTGGATTTGTTTGGACCAGAGAAGGTCGGTGCTTTTAAGGCACCCCCACACGGCCATTTTGGACGCCCCTCGGTTTGCCAAATATGAGAGCAGTTATCAGGTCAACAGGTGTTGCAGCGATGGAAGCGGGCAAGAGAAGTGGTTCAGATAGAAGTGATTGTACCCGACCTAAAAAGCCTCTGCATGTTTCTAATAAGCTCCACGAGCAGAAACGTGCTCAAACTAGGATCAATATTGGAGATACTTTTGAAAAATGGAGAGAGGTTAGAACACAGAAAGGTTTACAGACCCATGCAGAGCTGGATAAACACAAGCTTCAGTGCCCACCATATGGCAACCTGCGTGTGTGCATGCCAACAAGATTTGATCTGTTGTGGGTTAACACCTCCAGCAGAAACAAAAACAAATCTAAATTATTTTCTTCACTGAATCGTTGAGAAATTCATGAGCTCTGTGGTGTAATACATTTTTGATAAAACCTCGAGCCAATTTAATCAAATGTCTGCTCGTGTGTTTTCTTTCTAGTCCTGGTCGACATAAATGGAAGGTGTGTTCGCGTGACCTCATGATCTCACATCATGGCACCGCCTCTCACGACTACCTGCAGGAAACACCAGGAGATCAGAATGTGACAAATAAAAACACAGACTTTAAACCTGTGAAGATACTATTCTGAACACGGGGCGGGACTAACACCATCAGCTTTGTTAACGACCAGGAGACGCTGGTCTGCCTCGTCTTCGGGAGGGAACAGTTTCAGACGTTGAGCTGCTGATGTCAGTACACGCCCCCTTCACATCGTCCTCATGTTGTCTTAGTGAGAATTAAATATGAAACACACGGGGCTCAAACACACCCAACGGACATCACCGAGGGAAGAGGAGGTTAACTTTTGTAACCTAGCAACAACGAGGGCGTGACAGAAGCGCTCTGAAACAGAGGTTGTGAACACTTTCTTCGGCGTCTGTGGTCACAGAGAGACGTCGAACACTTTACTGAGGGGAGCAGGAGTGCTCTGTAATGGAGGTCATGGGCGCTATCCTCTGTGGACCCACACGTCTAACGTCCTCCTATGCAGGGGGACGTTTGGCTTGTTTAATTCTATCGAGCTGCTCTGAACCTTCCCTCTACTCTGGATATAAAGTGACAAAGAGGCACACTATCTGCGTTTGTTAAAATACATTTAGACACAAAGACACTTTCACAAACGCACACAGAGAGAACAGTAAGAAGGGTGTGTCCTGACCTCGACCTGCCAGGCTCCCGGGCCTCTGCAGGGTAGCGTTGGCGTACAGCTCGTGGGAGATCTTGTAGCTCTCCCCTCCGATGTGATGCAGCATCCTCTTGGTGGGCGACAGGGTGGCGTAGCTGCCCACCACCGAGCTCAGCTGGTGGATGGGTGACGAGAGGTGGTTCCCCCCCGGGGAGGCTGTCATGGGGAGAGGGGAGGAGGAGCCGGCGGCGACCATGTTGATGGGCGATGAGGTGCTGCGGGAGGAGGGAGCGGAGCATTATTAGAACATAGATTTTAAAACTGTGTTTGTTTAATGACTGCACGCTCAATCACTGCTAACTGAAGCCGGTTTAATTCTCTTTTAAAAGACCAGAGTAAAGGGGGCGCTGGTGGCACAGTGGTTAGTGCACAGATGTACGGAGGCAATAGTCCACCCGGTGGGCGGCCCAGGTTCAAATCCATCCTCTGGCTCATTTCCTGCATATCATTCCATACTCTCTCTCTCTCTCCCTGATTTACGACTCTTTCCATTGTCCTGTCTCTCCATTAAAGGCACAAAAAGCCCCACAAAAAAAAAAAAACTAGAGTGAAGGGACTTGAATCAGTAGGAAGTTATTTGTCTGGACATGTTTGTGTGTGATGACTGGTGCAGTTTGATTCAGGCGTCAATAAAGATGCCATTATGAATTGAACTACGTTGATCAGACGGACAGAATCCAAACTGGTTTCTGTGGAAACTTTGTGATCTCCATGGAAGCATGAATAGAGTTCTGATGCTTTGAACAAACATTTGGTCAAACAGCATGAGCTCGTAATGAGAGGCCCACAAGCAAGCTGCTGCTTCAACACGCTGACATGTTCAGAGTGCGTTTAGAAACTGTCTTTCAGGACGAGACCTGTTCCATTAATGAACTTTAAAGAGTTGTGTTGGTACCTGTCATCGTCTGTGCTTAAGAACTTAAAGCAGGAAAGATGATGCTCTTACTCTCTGATGGCGTCTTTACCAAACAAACATGTTTTTGTCACATTTGGTGAACAGAGTTTGTGGACCGGAGCATCTCAGCAGCACTTTTTCACTATCATAGAACTGCTGCTTCTTGTGATTTGGATATCCCACTGAGTCATATGTCAATTTGTTAAAGTAATTGTGACAGTTAGCTTGTGATTAGTGAATGATGAGGACACGGTGGCCTGAGGTATTATCCCAGTCCGCCCCTCCTAGAGAGTCAGTGATCTACAGTAGAAGAACTCTTTTGATGCAAATCAAGAAATATCTAATGATCAAGTACGACACCAAACCATCAAGGAGCTATTACTGTTGAATTTTGAACTTCAGGAAAGCAGCGACATACTGAGGAAAAAATATCTTTAGATATTCTGGTATGATTGAAAACAACAAGTGAGCAGCGAGGCGAGGTGGAGCCTGCACACACCTGTAGGACTTGGCGAGTCGGCTGGGCGACTGTTTGGGTGAAGACACCCTCTGGAGAGTGGCGTAGCTGGGCATGTCGGACGAGGCTGATCCCAGGCGCTGCAGCTTGGTCGGGGATCCCAGCGCCTGCAGGGGGGAGCTCACCCGCTGTAAGAGAAGAAGAGAGGATGTCACTCACGTTAAATATTCATCTTCTTATCATTCTTTTCAGAGGGATGAAAAAGTCCCCTCGGAGCGAGATGAGCAGACACTCTGATCTGTGCTAACGTCCTGATGAAGCGCTCCGAGCCCATCAGACCAAACATGAACCTTTACAACCAAATCAACTCCAAATGTGACCGCCAGCAAGTGGGACACCAAATGAAGTTTCCTCTGAATGCCTAACGTTCATTTCAATTTGTTCCAAATGGAGAGAAGAGCGGAGGAACTACAAAGTCGTGCAGTTAAGAGAAATAAAGGTACCCGTTTGAAATGTTCAATTAGAAGAGCCTGCTCAGGATGTGCTGAAGTGCAGAGGCTGCACATCTGTGACACACTGTGACGGTGATAACACAGCGTTGTGGAAGTCTTTAGCTCCGACATGTTTGAATCAGAACAGAGAACATCATCAGGCCAGGAGTCACATGGCCACTGCTGACCAGACAAACACAAAGCCACCTGCAGAATCCTCATGGCAAGGAAGATGCAGGTTAAGCTTGTTACCATGGGTGTGAGGGATTCTACTGATGATGTACATCAGATACCAGGAAGTATTCGTCATACAGCTCAAACATCAAACACAGTACTTCAGGGGTTTGTACCTGGGCGGGCAAAGTGGCACACGAGTAATACATGGATGGACCAGCAGGTGCAGGTCCGCCATCAGAGGGCATGTGGAAGGCGCTGCCGTGGGCCTGCTGGGCAAACGAGTCTCTCTGGGACTGGGAGGGAGAGTCTGTGCCTGCTAAGTGGGCAGCTGCCCGGCTGGATGTCACCTGGAGAGGACAGAGAGACAGGAGGTATGACAGGTGTGTGGGACTCCTGCTCCACTTTGCTTTCTAGTTCAAACATCAAATATGAAATATTTAGCCTGATGGGGACCAAGAGATGAAGCAGGGAAGTAAGTAGAAAGAAGAATCTAGTGCTGGTCTCAAGACCACTTTTTGACAATGACGATTTTTCATTGATATTTATGGTGTTGGTCTTGACTTGGTCTCGATCCCTAAATGTCTTGGTCTAGTCCTAGTCTTGCCCTGCCTTGGTCTTGGCCTTGACTCGTCTCGATAACTAAATATCTTAGTCTAGTCCTGGTCTAGCCCTGCCTTGGTCTTGGCCTTGACTCTGTCTCAATCCCTAAATGTCTTGGTCTTGTCCTGGTCTAGACCTGCCTTGGTCTTGGCCTTGACTCGTCTCGATAACTAAATACCTTGGTCTTGTCCTGGTCTAGCCCTGCCTTGGTCTTGGCCTTGACTCAGTTTCGATCCCTAAATGTCTTGGTCTAGTCCTGGTCTAGCCCTGCCTTGGTCTTGGCCTTGACTCTGTCTCAAATCCCTAAAGGTCTCGATCTTGACTCGGTCTCAGGGCACTCTGGTCTCATGAATGTCTTGGACTCTGTTAGTGTCGACCAAGACCAAGACCAAGACCGAGACCAAGACCAAGGCAGGGTGAGACATAGGCGAGACCAATACCATAAATATCAATGCAAAATCATAAAAAAAAAATCATCATTGTGTGTTTGTGTGTGTGTGTGTGTGTGTGTGTGTGTGTGTGTGTGTGTGTGCGTGCGGCCATGCGTGCGTGCGTGTGTGTGTGTGTGTTTTAATACCTGGTTGTAGATGTGAACAGCTCCTCCAACATGCCCTGCGCGGCCAGTGACCGACTCCCCGAGTGCCAGCCCTTGGTTACTATGGTAACCTGCTGCTGCATAGGCATCCTGGTTGTTGAGCTGGAGAGCACTCTGCGACAGAAGTCCTTGTCCTGAGGAGAGAGAAGTAGAGCGTACATTAAGAAGAAGAAAAAGAAGAAACTGTTTCTGACTTCTAACGTGAAATGTTTAAGTCTCTCTTGGTGGTAACTGTGCAGTCATGATGATGCTGGGAGTGATGAACTGCAGCTCCACTATAGCTGACGATAACAAACAGGAACAACGTGCCAAAGCTTAATGTGATCATGTGCCTCATCTCTAATTTTATTTCGCTGCCTGTGGCTTCTCGCCGTCCTCAGATTTGCACACGGATCATTTCACTTGGAGTGTGAACATGCAAACGTGCATCCACTGTGACACTTCAGAACAGTTTGTAAATGAAAACACAAACACATAAAACAAAAAGGACCACGTACTTCAGGAATGTTCTGCAGACTGTTTGGATGAGCGCGGTTCAATCATTAGAGGAGGATGGGGGGGGAGACGAGTCCAAAACTCTACACGCTCTCTTATTAACATGACATGAACGAGTCCGCTCGCTAGCAATAAATCTTCTTGAATACTACCTGTAGTTTTCACACATTCTTTCTCTGTGTTTCAGATATTCAAACACTGACTTCATGCACACATTTTACCCGGGGGCTGGCAGGACAAAGTCTGGGTAAAGTTGGGGGGGTGGGGTCAGGTTCACTCCTGCAGCTCACTCCAAAAACTTCCAGGAGGTTTGTGCATGAAAACATTAAAGCCATTTTCACACATGCACTCCTGAACATTTCAGAGAGTTTCAGGCCGACTGCCCCTGAAATCCTCCTGAGCTGGTTGTTCAAATATGCACCTCACAGCAGGAGAATCCCTGTCTGAAGGGAGGGGGGTGGGGGGGGGGGGGGGGGTGGGGCAGTCTCAGGAGGGAAAACATGGGGTAAGAACTGAAAACCTAATGAAGCCGTTTCATCAGCAGCTGTTGCACCAATCTCTCCCTCCCTCCCTGCTTCACAGAGGAATGTCCTGAATATTACCTGCTGTGCTCCCACATCACCTCACCCTGAATGCTCAGGTGAAATGACTCGGGGGGGGGAGGGGGGACTCTGGGTTAAGAAAATATTTCAGGAGTGTTGTTTAAGTGTGAAAAGGCTTTAATCCACAAAGCACATGGGAAAGGTTGAATAGACGCCCTGTGTGTTCAGAGGAAACAGAGACTGTTTGCACACAGTTCACTCTGCATGATGCAGACACACACATGCAATCATTTGCAGATTGGAATCTGTAGATTTGTCCGGGCGGCGTCATCAAGTTTAAAAGTGTGAGTAGGACAGGTCACTCTGGTCCCTCTGATTAACATCCAATAAAGTTGTTGTTGCATCCTTCGTTAACTCAAAGAAAGTAAACATGTGCCCTCGCAGCACAATGAAACTGTTGTTTTTACTCCAAATGTAACTTCAAACATGACTTCATATGGCTGCAGTGAATATAAAGTGCAGCCATTTTTGAAAGCTGTCACATCAGTTTGCTTTCCCGGCACCCAGCCACTGTACTGGAAAACGACTTGAGTGCATTAAATGGAGCTCTCAGACGAGCTGCTGAGTCGTCTTTCATTATCATGTCACTTTTTATTTTTTTGCCGGCAGTCCAAGAAACAAACTCAGAGCAGCACTAGAAGAAACACGACTTGCTTGTGATTTCTTTAAAAACAGAAGATGAAAAGGAGTGCCAGCGGTCAACATCAACAGCGTGCAGGACAGATAAAATCAGCAGCTAACGGCAAACAGAGTCACTGTGGATGAGAGCGCTGTGACGTAGAGCTGGAAGTGAAACGCCTTGTAACAGCAGAGCGGACGCAGCCTGGAGGCAGTGGAGCTGGTGATTGTGAATTATTGAAAATGTGATATTAAGCTAAGGGTCCCGCGTGAGTTTACTGGGTCAAGGCCTCGGTGTGCGTACACACACGCAGCCACACACACACACACACACACACACACACACACACACACACACACACACACACACACACACAGACACACACACAAGCCAACAGGAGTGTGTGCGCACAAAGCCAGGGGGATGTTTTCCACAGTTTTTGCCACTGCAGGTGGGTTTCATATGAGTAGTGGAGGCTTTTTTTTTTTTTTTTTTTTTGAGGGGGCGGCTCATTAATACATTATCAATACTGGCTCAGTCTTGCCAGCGTGACCAGTGTTCTATATCGACACACAGGGTCCTGCACACTGTGGTAACATACACACACACACACACACACACACACACACACACACACACACACACACACACACACACACACACACACACACACACACACACACACACACACACACACATCATTATGTTACAGACACTAACTGTTGGTCAGCGTGCAGAAGGTGGTAATTTCTTCAACAATGACTTCTTGATTTAAGACGTTACGTTTCCACATAGAAACTCTCTCACTCTCTCTCTTTCTCTCTCTCTCTCCCCCTCTCCCCCCTCTCTCTCTCTCTATCTCTCTCTCTCTCTCTCTCACAGTTCTGTGCTTGTGCTGCACACCTGTATGTCTGTGTGTGTGTGCGTGTGTGTGTGTGTGTGTGTGTGCCTCCCCTCTGCACTGTGAACAGCAGGCCAGCTGACACCTCAGTGAGGATGGATTAGCATATCAAACCACTGGCACGACTCGGCATGTCTCCTGACAGCTACCTCTGTCCCGTGGGCTCGACTGTACTAAAGACGTGGCGATCACCCCCGCGCCCCGATGAAAGACGAGTGGAGCTGAGCGGCATGGGGAGTTGTTTAGGATCTCACTGAGACTCTTACAAACAACTCTTCCCTCGCCGTCTCTCTACAAACTATTTCTGTCAAAGCTTTTTAAAGGAACAACGACTGTTCCTCCTCCGAGGAGCTTCTTTAAAAGGACTCAAAGTTCCTCAAGCTAATTCTTGTCTGCTTTTCCATCATCATCCAAAGACCTGTGGAGATCAGACTAACATGTGGAAAGCTGGTTGACTCCTGATCACAGAGCCTTTTCCAACCTCTTCACATTCAGGGTCCCTGAGCAGGGATGTCAGGTAGGTTCAAAAACAGATCCTGGTCCTGAGGTCATCCAAACCAAGATGGCGGCGCGAGCGCATCGCGAGGCCCAGCGTCTCTCTCAGATTTGCAATTTTGCAGTAATTTTATTGTTAATTTCGGGTCTGTTCGTACGGAACAGCCTCGCCTTAACATCCTACACCCGACAGGAACTTTTGGATATTGGAATACACCTCCCTGACGATCTAATCAACAATCTTCGACTCATACCAGAGATCGCCAAAACACCCGAGGCTACGCACTCTACCCGGCCGGGTGGAAGTGCTCGCAGGCGGCGTCGAGACCGTAAACAAAGGCGGGGGAAGCGCGGAGGTATAAGAGCTAAGCTAAAGCTAACACCGCACCGTCTCCCGTTACCCAGCATTTTCCTCGCTAATGTGCGGTCTTTGGTGAACAAAATGGACGAGTTACGACTTCGCATCATCCACAGCAAGAGACTTATGGACTGTAATGTCATGATCTTCACGGAAACATGGCTAAACAACGGAGTACCGGATGATGCTATCAAGCTAGCCGATCGCCACACACTCCGGGCAGACAGAACAGCAGAGGACTCCGGTAAGACCAGAGGAGGAGGGCTGTGCATCTATTTTAACAAAGCTTGGTGTACAGACTCTGTCATTATTGGGAGACACTGCTCAGCTAACATTGAGTTTCTCATGGTTAAATGTAGACCTTTCTATCAGCCAAGGGAGCTCAGCTCCACTATTGTAACTGCAGCCTACATCCCCCCTGATGCCGATGCAAAAGCTGCTATGAAGGAACTTTACACCGCTATCAGTAAACAACAGACTGCTCACCCGGAGGCTGCATTTATAGTTGCAGGTGATTTTAATCACTCAAACTTAAAGACAGTGCTCCCTAAATTTCACCAGCATGTTTCCTGCAATACAAGAGGAAACAAAACTCTGGACCATGTTTACACAAACATCGCAAGAGCCTACACCACGACCCCCCTCCCCCACCTGGGACAGTCAGACCACCTTTCTTTGTTCCTCATCCCCAAGTACTCCCCACTCATCCAACGTGTGAAGCCATCAGTGACAACGATTAAAGTGTGGCCAGCGGGGACAGACTCTGTACTTCAGGACAAGTTCCATCACACAGACTGGAGTATGTTTGCTTCTCAGGCTACCTTGGGCTCTCACACAGACATTGACACCTACACTTCTTCTGTGCTGGATTATATCAATACCACCATCGACAGTGTTACAACATGGAAGCAGATCACCACGTACCCAAATCAGAAGCCATGGATGAACAAGGAGGTGCGTCTCCTGCTGAAGGCCCGCAACACGCCTTCAGATCAGATGATGCAATGGCCTACAGCGTATCCAGGGCAAACCTGAGGAGGGGCATCATCAAGGCCAAGCACTGCTACAAGCTGAAGGTTGAGGAACACTTCTCCAACTCCGACCCCAGACGCATGTGGCAGGGCATCCAGGCCATCAGTGACTATAAACCCAGAAACTCCACCCCGATAACCACAGATGTCTCCTTCCTGAACGAGCTAAATCACTTTTATGCTCGTTTCGATAGAGACAACAGGGAGACGCAGACCACGACCAGACCTCCTGCAGACAACCAGCCCCTCTCACTCACCTCCACGCTGCACTGAGCCGGATCAACGCTCGAAAGGCTGCTGGTCCAGACGGCACCCCCGGGCGCGTGCTTAGAGCATGTGCGGAGCAGCTCACTGGGGTTTTTACGGACATCTTCAACCTGTCCCTCGCCCAAGCAGCTGTGCCAGCATGCTTCAAAGCCACCTCCATTGTCCCAGTGCCGAAACACTCCAGCCCGACAGGCCTGAATGACTACCGCCCTGTAGCACTCACACCCATCATAATGAAGTGCTTTGAGCGACTGGTCCTAGCACACCTGAAAAACTGCCTCCCACCCACACTGGACCCATACCAGTTTGCCTACCGCAGCAATAGGAGTACAGAGGATGCAGTTTCCACTGCGCTGCACTCTGTGCTCACACATCTGGACAATAACAACACATACGCACGAATGCTGTTTGTTGATTTTAGCTCAGCATTCAACTCTGTCATCCCCTCCAAGTTAAACACTAAACTCGGAGACCTGGGCTTCAACACCTCCCTCCGTCACTGGATAATGGACTTTCTGACCAACAGACCCCAGTATGTTAGGTCAGGACACACCTGCTCCACCACCATCACACTCAACACAGGCGTACCACAGGGCTGTGTGCTGAGCCCATTCCTCTACTCCCTCTTCACCCACGACTGCAGACCTGTACATGGATCCAACACCATCATCAAGTTTGCGGACGATACAGCGGTGATTGGCCTCATCAGCAACAACGATGACACAGCCTACAGGGAGGAGGTACAGCATCTGGCCGCCTGGTGTGCTGACAACAACCTGCTCCTCAACACCAGCAAGACGAAGGAGCTCATCGTGGACTTCAGGAGAGAAAGAGGAAGCACGCACAACCCCATTCACATCAACGGGATGGCTGTTGAACGTGTCTCCAGCTTCAAGTTCCTGGGGACCCACATCACAGAGGACCTCTCCTGGTCCACTAACACCTCCAGTCTGGTTAAGAAGGCTCATCAACGCCTCTTTTTCCTGAGGACACTGAAGAGACACCACCTGTCTTCAGCTGTACTGATGAACTTCTACCGCTGTGTGATCGAGAGCATCCTGACCAGCAGTGTCACAGTCTGGTATGGAAACTGCTCTGTCACAGACCGTAAGGCGCTACAGCGGGTGGTAAAAACCGCCCAGCGCATCACAAGGTGTCCACTTCCTGCCATTGAGGATGTCCAAAGAAAACGCTGTCTGCGGCGAGCTCACGGCATCCTTAAAGACTCCTCCCACCCTGCCCACAGACTGTTTACCCTCCTGCCCTCCGGTAGACGCTTCAGAAGCCTCCGGACCAGAACCAGCAGACTGAGGAACAGCTTTTTCCCCAGAGCTGTCTCTCTACTGAACTCTACCCCCCGAACTCTGAACTCTGTCTCTCTCTCTCTCTCCCTCTCTCTCTCCGCCCCTGCTGACCCCCCTTTCCCCTGCATATCACCTCACACCCATCATCCCCCACCACTCCTCCTGGTCACACACACACATCTCTCATCCACCTGTATTATTGTATTATAGTATGTTCATATTATGTCCATATTCTTTATATTATCTGTAAACTAGTATAGCATGCTCACTGCACCTTATTCTGTATATTATTAGTATAGCATGCTCACTGCACCTTAATCTGTATATTATAATCTTAAGAATACACTTATATTTATAGCATTTATTTATATTTATAGCATCCCATTAATCCAGCCATCCATATATACCTAATAATTCACTTTTTTTAGTCTACATCTGTAAATTTTGTAATTACTGTACATAGCACAGACTCTTGCACTTTCTGCTTATTTGCACTTCTGGTGAGATGCCAAACCTCATTTCGTTACTCTATACTTGTATATGTGCAATGACAATAAAGTTGAATCTCATCTCATCTCATCTCATCTTAAACGCCCCCTTCCCTTTAAACACAGCTGAACACATGTATGAATGTTGGAGGTTGATCACATGATTGCAGTGTTAAAGAAGTGTTTAATGGGGACGAGATTCATCATGTGAAGCGCCTTTTAGCTCCTTTTCCATGAGCTGTTAGCCATTAGCTTCACTGTTCGGTTCTCATCGCAGCAGGATGCAGTTAACAGCACAGGCAACGTGCACAACAACAAATCATACACAAAGTAAAGCGAGATGACTGACAGAGTAGGGATGTGTACGTAAGTCTACGAAGGATCAGACTTTGTCATGCTTTAAAGTCAGCACCAGAATCGGTTAAATTATTTAGTAATATTTGTTTTAAAGGTGACATATTATGAAAAATCCACTTCTATAGGTTTTCTGAACATATGTTTGTGTAACCTGAGTGTCTACTGACCCACAACATGTGAAATAAACCCATCCAGTCCTTTGTTTGTGGTCTGTATAAGTTGAACAACACAGAGAAAAATGCTGTGTTTCTAATGTGCTCTCCTTGTGATGTCACAGAGGGATTCTGGTAAAAAAAAAAAAAAAAAATCCCCTCCCCTCCCCTGGTATCTCCAGCCATGGACTCCACCCCCAGACTGGAACAAAACTTTTGCGCAGGTCCGCCATTTTTATTCTCTCTACAGAGGAGAGATGTCTACGGGGAAAACTCAGGGGGCGGGCTCATTGCATTTAAAGAGACACACACACCAAAACGGAGCATTCTGAGAGAGTTGGTTTATACAGGTTCACCAGTAACCTCCTCCGGTGCTTGATTCATGTTATATTTTGACCAAAGCACAGCACAGACATTTCATTTAGACCACAGGGGACTGTTTGAAAAGGTGGAGAAGGGGGGATAATATGTCCTCTTTAATGTACACCCACATTGCAGTTTAACACACACACATACACACACACACACACACACACACACACACACACACACACACACACACACACAAATACACATTTTCTACTATTGACTGTATGTCTGATCTTTTGACATCATGCTCCCTGTCAGCAGCACGTTTTATAAAGATGTCTAAAAGCAAAGACGTGTTCTGTCATCACAACCATTCAACTCTTTGGTTTGCATTGACAGGAGGGATGTACGCTAGGACGTCTTTCTCTTTCTGCAGGGCGTGTTTCAGGTGTTCCAGGTTATCAGGCGCCGGGCAAATAGCGAGGGGAGTCTATACACTGTGTCACTGATCTCATATGCTGATCTTTTACAGAAGAAAACTATTTTTTTTAAAAGTAGAAAATGATCTGCAAATAATTGGGCCAGGTATCCAGTATTTTTACCTCTTTTCCCCAGAGCCAGGTCCAGGGCTGGTTCAGAGTCTGTGTCTAATTTGTCAGGAGTTCTTTGTGTTTCAACAGCCAAACATGTGGCTCTGGGCCAGAAGAACAGGTAGAACCAAACCCATGCTGGTCTACAAGAAAAAACTGCTTCCATCAGGGACTGGGGGCAAAGTAGATGCATGCAAAACCTTGTTGTGACCACTTCAGTGACAGACCAGTTAACGTTTATTGAGCATAAACTTCAGTAACGTTGTCATCACAGATCTGCCCCCAGAAATAACCCCGGTCTGCCAGCTGATCTCTATAAAGGGGACAGACATGTAGGCAGCAATGGTGGAAAAGAAGCCGCTCTTTTTGGGAAACAGTGTAACCCCTTGTTGTGTTTGTGCCGCTTTCAGCCGGCCCCCTCTTCAGACTCCAAAAGTTTCAAAGTAGAGCTCAGATTTGCTCTTGTACCGCCGTCTTCATGTTCAGACTATTTTCAGCTTAAAGAAGCTTTCTACATTTTGTCTTTGTTGTTCTTCTCCATTGTTTTAAATGTCACTCAAAGGCTTTTCTTTGCATTTGAAAAGCGCTTTGAGATGCTTGTGTGTTTGAAATGTGCTGTATAAATAAATCTGTCTCGTCTTCTGAGTCTGACGGATCAGACCTGAGAGAAGTCTTCTGTAGCACAGCTAACGTAGGAGAGGAGGAGAGGAGGATTTATCGACAGATTTCAAGTACGGCTGCACGATATCTTCTATATCTGAGTAATAAGCCTGAGTGACATCACCCGTCTGTTCCTGCAGGGGGCGATGGAGTCCCATCGATGGCGGTCTCCATGCTGGAAATGCTGTCTCAGTCTAACTTTCAGTCAACCTAACGACAGGCTGAGAACTGGAGCTGAGGCGAGTTTTAAACCTCCTGACAAACCGTTACACCGCGCCCACCTGTCAATCAGGTCAGCTACACGCCTTATTGTGAATAACTCTTATCCTTCATCAAATAAAAACTGATGAGTCATCAAAACATTCACCCCCCGTACAGTGTGTGTCCATCGCGACATGAGCTAATCACACCTATTTGTTTTTTTTTTAATCAGACAGTAAACATGTAAATCTCTGCTGTAAAAACAGGCTTTTTAGAATGGGTGTGTATGTGACTTCCTGTGCTTCTGCAGCCAGCCTCTAGTGGACACTTGAGGAGCTGCAGGATTTTGCACTTCCAGCATTGGCTTTATTTTTCAACACCGGAGGTTGGTATCTGAAGGTAGCTGATAGTTAGCTTAGCTTAATCCGACTGAATCCACATGTTGTTGAAGCATCATTTCACCTGTTCCTCCAACTAACAGGTGAAATGATGAACATGCTGAGGGAGAAATAATTTCTCCTTTATGACGAATTCTGCGATCTGTTTACTGCAAAAGCTCATTCAGCGATAACGATGCCTTTATGGTTTAGCTCGATTTCAAGTCCGTCCAGGTCTGAACCGAAGTCTGACACATGAGTTTATAAACTTATATTCTTTTTCAAAGTATGGTATTTAGTGAAGGGGCACTTTAAGAAAATGTGACTAATCAAATGAAGGACAATCAGAACAAGTACTTTGTCTGATTAGTCCAGATCTCACTACTTTGATGACAGTTTTTAAAAGGCTCTTATTGCCTTATTTCACTAATTATTCAAGGACTGAGCACAGCACTCTTATTTGAATATAGGTCTGTGCTGTAACGTGGACACTCTGCAGAGCAGCCATCACATGAGCTTTCCTTCAGTCGCAGCAAACACAAGCAGAGATACTCCTTCTGATCATAACGTTGTCTCCTTACTGTCTCCTGAAGTGTCCTGTGAGTCCAAGATGCCTGATTCCTGAAGCGAGCGGATGCAGGAGTCGACCAGCTCCAGGCCTGTGGTTAGCTCCTCCTCGATGTCCTTCTGTCCATCTGCAAGTGCACACACACAGACACACACACACACACACACACACACACACACACACACACACACACACACACACACACACACAGAGTTAAAAACACAGACGGACACACAAAGCCTGCAATGTCTAACCTATTGAGAAAACACAAACAGATCGTAGATCTAAGGTCAAAGGGTCAAGATGAAAACCTCACTGCTAGTCAAGAAACACATCCTGTGGGATTTGGGTTTCTGTGGCGCCCTCCTGTACTTGGACACGGGGCCGTTTGTCTGTCACAGTGGGGCCGTTGACATACCCGGTGTCTTCAAGTGAGAGCTGTCTGCCAAGATGGCTAAAAGCTTTCAGAGGAGGAGCAACATTAATCTCTCACCGAGATGGAGAGAGAGACGGTAATAGAGGACGCCTTAGTGAGAGGATTTAGGAGGCGGGCTTTTATTGACCTGGACCGATAGAACTCCAGACGGATGATGTTGATGTGAAACATCTCTTCAGTCCGAGGCTTTCCTCCTATAGACATCTTATTTTTTTAACCCTGCTAGATGCAGAAATGATGTAATGATTTGTATGTGATGAATGGATCCAAACGTCTGATTGGAGTGAGGAAGGATTTGGTCTTTTGAGGCTTTCTGTAGATGGAAGCAGACACAGCTGACACTGAAAGCCTTCAGTATGAAACGTTTATCTGCAAACCTTCAGTCATCTCTTTGTTGGAAGAGGTCGCTAACCCTGCACTCCAATGATCAATCTAACCTCACACAGCCCACACAGCTCTGTGTCACTGACAGACAGAGAGAGCTCAGTGTCATGGATGGAGGTGTTGTCTCTATTAAAGGCCTGAGTCTGCCAGCAGCGCTCGTTTTCAATCAAAAAATGTAGGTCGGGGGTCTTCAGCGCCCTGCGTCATTTGTTTTGTGTCACTTCTCTTGCAGCGCTAACAGTTCAACTTTTAGAACAGTACCTCGCTCGTCAATGTCCCTTCTCTCTCACCGACCAATCAGGATCAAGATAGGACGGGACTTAAAACATCAGCCTTGTCAACAACGATGGCGGAGGAGACGCTAGTCTGCCTCGTCTTTTGGCGGGAAAGGTTTCCAGGTGTTGAGCTGCTGTTGTCAGGACACGACTCCTTCACATCGTCTTCATGTTTTCTTGGTGATATTTCTTTGACGGTCCGGGTTAGAAGAAGCTTTTTTTAAATCCACACGGTGAGTTTGACTGAGCGCTCCACAATGGGTCCCGTACAGGAAGTATCAATACTTTGTTGATGCATGATGGAGGATTGTTACCACGGAAACCAGAGTGATACGCTGAGTCAGCAATGTGCAGAGCTGGAAGGCAAACAATGGAGGAGGAGACTAAATGCACTGAGAGCGTTCCAGAGGAAAGATTACCTTGGTTGTTCCAGCGAAATTTCTCATCTGCTGAACTGCAAGAGACAAACAAGACAAAAATAAAGCAGGTTAGATAAATACATGGAGACAAACACACAACATATTTTACACTTCTGTTCTGTTGTGTTTCGTAACAGCAGCTCTGTCAGCCTCACACGCCACAAACCATTGCTTTTTACCATCAGAGGGTTTTTTTTTATCAACGTATACCATCTGTGGAAAAACATTAAAGGTGACATATTCTCCTCCTCTTCTTCTTCAGTGTACATGAGTCAGTACAGAGGGTTTTAGCTTTCTTACTGAGCTCAGGGAAATGTTGTGATTATATACAGTACAGAGACGAGACGACCAGAGACTGAGGGAAGAATAAGATGACTGTATAACAGAACAATCTTTAATCTCACACAGGTTTTATTGGACCGTGAGCTTGGACCCGATCACAGGGTTTAAATGGGCCACTTCTTATCTGTGTGTCCTTAAAGGTCCAATCAGTGAGATGTGTAGAGTGTGAAATGATAAAGTGATACTATATTTACTATATGATGAGACATTAAGGAAACATGCTATGTTGAAGTGCTGGCTTCTCTGACAACAATGCAGCAGCCAGTATGTCCTCCTTCTAACTTTAGATTCTGCTCCTGAATGCTCTGGATTTGTTTGGACCAGAGAAGGTAGGCAGTTTTAAGACACCCCCCCCACACGGCCGTTTTGGACGCCCCTCTGTTTGTCAGATATGAGAGCAGTTATCAGGTCAAACCAACAGGTGTTGCAGCGATGGAAGCGGGCAAGAGAAGTGGTTCAGATAGAAGTGATTGTACCCGACCTAAAAAGCCTCTGCATGTTTCTAATAAGCTCCACGAGCAGAAACGTGCTCAAACTAGGATCAATATTGGAGATGCTTTTAAAAAATGGAGAGAGGTTAGAACACAGAAAGGTTTACAGACCCATGCAGAGCTGCCTAAACACTGAAGCTTCAGTGTCCACCACATGGCAACCTGTGAGCATCGACTCTAGAGAGGAGGGGGCAGCTCTCTACAATGTTTAGAATTTAGACTGCAGTAACCATTTTAAACACTAGGTGTCAGGGTAACATATTGCTCCTTTAAGTTAAGCTCTAGCTTTACTGCTGTTGGCGTAAAGTCATTAGTCTATTTATGTAGACTAACCGAAGGTTGAACTCCAACGATTCTCACATTCAAATAGTGGCTTTGAGCTAAATGCTAACATATGCCTGCTAACATGGCACGAGGATATCAAATGTTGATGTTAAGCATGAATTAAAGCATAATTAACATCTTAATACGTGACTGTGAGCATGCTGACATTTTCTAAGAGACATAAAGACAAAGGAGAGTCGAGGCTTGATGAGACCGTCGCAGTATCTGACTAAGAACACAGATGAGCCACAGTCCATGTCGACAGGAGGAGGAATGTGTGTACCAAATGAAATGGCTCTCCATCCGGTAGCTGTTGATTGGTTCCTCAGATAACCATGATGGTCACCTTTAAAGTCTCTTTGATTTGGTTTCACCAAATCTCGTAGAAATGAATCCAATGGTTATCCAGATGTTAAAGTCAGAACCATCGGGGGACATCAGTGATATTCACCCTCTGATGAATGATTTTAAATATCTTGTAGAAATTAAACAAATAGTCATTTAATGTTTGGATTCAAACCACCAAAGTCACATCCTCAGTGTGGCAGTAGAGAAACTCAAAACAGTCGATCAAGTTACTGATTTGTCATCCTCTGGGGACCCAAATGTCTGCACCAACGTTCATGGAGGTTCATCCAGTAGCTGTTGAGTCATTTCAGTCTGGAGCACAGTGATGGTCTGAGTTTCTGACTCACCTTTCGGCCCTTTGGAGCCTTTTTGTTTTTTCATCTCGTGTGTTTGAACGTCATCACTTCGAGGTTCTCTGGATTCAACATGGTGATGCAGACTTCTTTCTTTACTTTGTTGGAACAAATCAAATTGGACTCTCTCTCTCTTTACTATCTAAGTCTGAGAGAGCTCGTCCACCTTCCTTTCCCCCCCTCCCCTCCTCCTCGCCACCAGGTACATCTAATCAGAGCTCAGTGTCTGAAACAGCTCATTGACCTGGTAACCTGGGAAACAGAGAGCTGCTGTTTTCTCCCATCCCACCTCTCTGACACGCAAACAGGACGTGACAGTATAATTAGTGGGCCGAGAGGAAACTAATTGATCAACTCGCCTGCTGCAGGTCACGCCAAATCGCGACACTTCATCAACGCTAATGATATAATGCTGAGTGCATGTGCGTGCGGGTGAAATGTGTGTGGCTCGGTTTGGAGTGTAAACACGACAGCACATCGATGTTGTGTTCACAGGGATCAACGCTGTTTTTGTGTTTGAATCTGCAAAGATCAAACATCTCCAGAGGAACCGTGCAGGTCAACTTAAAAAGAAGAGCTCTCTAATATTCTGTAGTTATACTCAGAGGCTTCTGCTGCTCTAAATCAGAAATGTTACATAATCCCAGCATCCCAAATGAAGGACACAGAAAGGCTAAGCAACAATATGTCTCAAAAAGCCTCGGGCTACCTCGAAAAGAACGAAATGTGATGATAACATAAAAGCATCCTCCTCTCATGTGTCACAGAGAGAAGAGCTCCGTCCTTAATTCCTCCTTCAATGCTTCAAATCTGATCTAAAAAAAAAGTGATGAACATTTATATCCCTTTAAACACCAGACCAGCAGCAGTCAGTGGTGCCCAAATAGGGTCAAAATGAACAGCTGTAACCGTTTAGAACAACCTTAACATCAACCTTCAAACATCCAGAAATCAATGGAATCAGCAAACAAGAGTGAAACATGGTGTGGAACAAACTGATCCTGCAGAATGTACAAACATCAGGAGTTAGACCAAGGACTTTGAGTTTTCTGTTGTATCACTACACTGATTTACACAAGTCTGAATGTGATATCTGTAAAAGTCCACTCTGTGTCATCTGCTGTGGGACATCATCCTCCTTAGAAAAGAAAGAATGATCGTTTTATTCCAACATCATTCCCCATTTTTCACCCAGCTAAGTTCTGGACCGTTTTCAAACCCGTGTTGTTGAACCACAGACCTGAATGAATCACACTCAGACACTCAGACTCTTTGATCACAAACACATTGTGAAGCTCTTTCTGTGCAGAAGGAACATCAACAACTAACTACAAGTTAATAAGGTGTACTCTGCACATTTGCATACCAAACCATTGAGCATGCCATGAGCTCCAAGGTGGTCTGAACTGGATTAAACAACATGGATAATTTCTTCTTGATATCTCTGAAACATAAGACCCTCTTCAGGGTCTTCATACTGTCTTTCTTCTCTTGTCCTACATACACACACGTCACCAATGATTGAACATGTGATGTGTTTGGTTCCCTTGATTTGTCTTCTGTGTGCAAAGAAAGCAAATTAAAATGGATAAAAGACAACTTATGTATGTCTTTAACAAAGCTCAAAGAAGTAGAGTTAGACAATGTTATAAAAACATGGACAGATCTAAACAGGATGTTAAGTCTACAGCTTCATTACTGTATAATGTTGTTTTTAAAGGTTCATGTTGGGGCTTTTTATGTCTTTATTATAGAGCCAGGACAGAGGACAGAGCCAGTGATAAGGATAAGATAAAGAGTAGGGTAACATGCAGGAAAGGAGCCACAGGTCGAATTCGAACCCGGGTCGCCCACTTGGACCGAATCGGTACATGGGGCGCGAGCCACTAGCCTACAGCCCCATCGCCATGCCTACATTTGATTTGGTCTACGGCGCCCCGAGTATAATCATCTTAACTGGGTGGTAGTAAGATGCTTGTTATTGGATGGTCAAACATCCTGATGAATGTTTAGGAGACTAATGATCCAAGTAGGGAAGCTTATCAGCATGAATATTTTGAGGGGACCATATCCACAATAAACACCAAATGAAGAAAACTCAGAAGCTCTGTGTTAACAGGACAAGCAGTGAAAGACACAAACCTCTGTGTTCACATCCTTCACTGAAATCTGAACTATTTCATCCAATCATGAAACGTTTCTCCTGGAGCTCCACCAATCAGATTTGTCCAGAATCAAACCTGAAGCTTCATAACTAGAGTCCATCAGACTGTCTGACAAGTTGGCCCTCATTGACCCTCAACTTCAACTTGGCCCTCGTTGGCCGTCATTGGCCCTCATTGGCCCTCAACTTCAACTTTACTTTATTGTCCCCGAGGGGAAATTTATTTCGCAGCCAGAGGAGAACAACTATGAGAAGAAAAAAAAAGAAAAACAACAACCACATAGAACACAGGCACATAGAATCAGACAATAGAAACAACAGACACCGTGAGAGGCATTAAATATAGAAATACAGGAGTTCATCAAGTAACAACAGAAGACTGAGAATGTATAAAAAAACGTCCATAAAACCATCATCAGAATAGATGGACTGGACCCAGTTATGACAAGTCCAGTCCAAAGCCTCATTGCTCCCCCTGCTTCAGTGTTTGTGTATGAATGGGATTAGTTACTTCTGATGGATGATACTACATAGCGATCACTACCATCAGTGTGTGAATGTGTGGGTGTGACATGCAGTGTAAAAGAGCTTTGAGTAGTCAGAAGACTAGAAAAGAAATATACAAGCTCAAGTCCATTTACCATTTACCATTTATATCTTTCCTATGACTGGAAATAAATGTGTTAAAGAGACAATTTGAGCTATAATTCATAAAAAGGAAGAATAAGGCACGAGAACTCTTTCGTGCAATACGTGAGCCCAGTTATGACAAGTCCAGTCCAAAGCACCTCTCGTTGAAGCTGTTATTTTCAGTCCCATTAAAGCGCAGATAGGAGGCATAATGCTCTGTAATTTCAGGTAATGATCAGCGCCCATTGTGCGCTCTGATCTGACATTTTCAGCCATTTCTAAAGAGCTGGTGTGGGAGCTATTCCCAGAGAAACACAGGCAATGTCACAGATCAAATCACTGCTCTCTGACCAGCTTGTCTTAATGACCACTCTGCTGCATTA